GGCTAGCCCTTGTCCTTGTCCTTCTCGCGGGCTCCGCCCTTGTCGGTGGGGCGGTTGCCACGTCGCTTGTTCTCCTCTTCCTGGTACAGCCGCTGCTGCTTCATCGTGAAGGCGGCCGACTTCTGTTCCTCTGCCGTCCACCGCGCGAACTCTCCCGACAGCGCGCCGCCGGACGAGTCCAAGGTCGACATCGCCATCAGGTCGGCGCCGCGGAAGTCGGGGCTCTTGGGGTTGCGCTTCGTCGCCTGATGGATCTGCAGGATGAGCCGCCCGAGCATCTCCGCTGATGAGAGGTGCCCCAGGTTCAGCTGGTCGAAGCTCAGCATGTGGTGGAGGACCGCGGTCCTTGTGCTTCAGCGCCACCGGGGAGTCGGGGTTGACCCCCGAAGCCCGCACCCAGAAGTCGTGGAACCCGGCGAGCTCCTCCTTGGCCGCCCTGGCCGCGAGCAGCAACTCCCGAATCGCCGAAGGCGCGGTCGCGGGGAAGGGCCAGTCGGCCGGCGCCTTGCCCGTCTCGAAGAACTGCATGAGCGCCAGGCCTTCCCGCATCGAAAGGTACCTCGTTCGGTCCACTTCGCGGTAGAATGACAGCACTCGTGGGTCTCGCCCTGGGCCCGACCTCTTCTCCTCTCGCCACACTCGTCCAGGTCTGGGCCCCCGACCTTCTCCACGAAGGTCCAGGAGGTCTCGCCGTTCGCCTCGATCTCCGCCAGAACAGCGGCCCCTCTCGCCTGGAGCCTCAGCGGGTTCCTGGTGATGTCCGGCGGTACCGTCTCTCCGAACTTCTCGCGCGCTGTGTCTGCGAACCGCCGCTCCGCCGCCAGCGACCCGGCGGCTGGGGCGGCCCCCAAGCCGGCTGGCGCCGCGCCCAGCACGTTGCCCAGGGCGTCCGCCTCCAGCCTCACCGCGGCGAGCTCGTCCACGCGTCGGCGGCGTAGAGGTTCCGCCGCACTCGTGCCGGCGCTGGGGCACGCCTGGGGATCGGCACGACGATGTGGTCGGTCAGGTTCACCACGACCACGTCCAGGTCCGGCGTCCAGCCAACCCACCGCCCGTCCGCCAGGCGCACCCGTAGCACTCTCACGTGCCAGCGGAAGTTGGGGTCGTCCTCGAAGTTGATCGCCACCTGCGGCTCTGGAATGTCCAGGGAGATCCCAGGCCAGCGCCGCCGCCGGCTCCGGGCAGGCCGCACAGGGGAGCCGTGGCTCGCAGCGGCAGGCGGGGCAAGGCGGCGCGGGCGGCCGCACGACCCAACCCCCTATGGCTGAGGCGGCCAGCTGATGGGCGAAGCTGGATGCCAAGGACAGGATCTCGTGAACCATCCGCTGATAGAAGGACTCGAGAAAAAGGCTGCAGAGGCACTTTCGTGAGGGTTAAAGGGTGCACGCACAGTCTATACCCATCTTGTAGTATATCGTTTCCCGAACGGAGTGGCCAGAAAGCGCCCGCCACGACGCATATACTATAAGATTTCTCGGTGCGCACGTCGCCCGTGGGGGGGGCGACGCGCACATAATAGTTGCATGTTGGGGTAACGCCGATCCTGGACCATCGATGGTGAGGAAGTCTCCCGCGACGACATCCGGCCCACGGGGTGGCTCCCGCAACACAACCTCCAGCGTCCGTGGCGACCCCCATGCTAGCCCCCCGGGACCGTCCATGGGAACGTCGAGACCTCTCGCTGCACCGACATTGCAGACGTGCTGCAGCAGATCTTTTGCAGCCGAAGCGGCGAGTGAAAAACGAAGTGAATTTCGCGTGGATGTTTTTTCGTCTTCATTCCTGGCCACAAGAAAACCGCTCGAAATTCACCTCGAAATCCAGAACGACATTCTCCAAGACACTCCAGCCCCATCCTCTTGTTTTTCGAACGAAATCCGCTCTGCGATGTTGGCGCCATGAGACCTCTGGAGACCGATTGCAGAAAACATCTGGGGGGCCCAGCGCGGCTCCAAGAAATCCGCGCGAAGCGCCAAAAGTTCATGTATATGGCTCTTTTCCTTCCTCGACGCATGGCCGGATATGGCCGGCCTGCCCAGTCCCTTCCACCTCCGCCCGGCAAGGCCGCGGACTGCGCACAGAAGCCCCCCCCCTCCGAGGCAGCCCTCGCTGGCCTCCACAGGCCCTCCGGCCCGAGCAGCCCCAGCGGGTCTCAACAGGCCTCCCAAAGTCATCCTGGGCGGTCTCAGGGAGAAGAGGGAGGAGGAGGAGGCGGCGGCGGCGAACCTCTGCAGGTACACGAGTCTGAACGCTGGCATTCAACGAATTGGCCTGTCAGCTCAAGTGCCTAGAGTGCGCTATATTTAGCGGTGCTTCGCACGTGGGGGGGGCTCGAACGCGCCTCGGCCAACCCAGCTCGGAGATATCCCTGGGGCCAGGCCGCGCTCAAACTCGACAAAATCGGGGTGGCCACTAACATTTTAGCAGGCGGCGGGGACCAAACCAAAGAGCGGGAGTTTTAAAAAGGCCCTAGGACGCATCCAAAAGAGAAAAAAGTTCGGACCCCAGGAGAGAGGAGGAGGAGGAGGGAGGAGGAGGAGAGGAGGAGAGAGGAGGAAGAGGAGGAGGAGGAGGAGGAGGAGGTGGAGGAGGAGGAGGAGGAGGAGGAGCGCCGCTAGCGGGAGTGCCAGGGTGTTGAGACCGCCCTGGCTTACTCGGGGGGCTGATGGGTCAGCTCCTTTGTATCGCGTTTGGTATGGTAAACAACGGGCTCAACCATTCTCGTTTACACCTTCGCATGCGTACGACTTCGTAGATGTACACGTACAGATGTCTGAGTGCGGTGCAGACGAATGTGGAGTGCCAAGTGTACATAAATGAACAGACGAGCGGCGAGCCCGTGCGAAAACTCAGCATGCCAGATTATGCAAGCAATGCATGTGATGGACATAATAGGGCCTGCTGAATATGAGCCGGTGGGACAATGTGTTTGGGAAAGGTTCAGGAAGGATACTACCGCATTTGCATTGGAAGCTGACTCCTTCATTATTGTTGGGCCACCTGCTGTAAGCACTCTGCGCCCTGTGATCTACTTCTTCTTCTCGCCGCAAGAGCCCTGAACCATAACAAGCCTGGTCGTATGCTGTTTCAGTGATGGCGCTCAGGGCACTCGGGCTAAGACAAACCATGTTGTCAGAAGTTCCAAGGCTTGCTGGATTGCCTGCAGCTCTGTGAAAAATGATGTGCAGTGAGAACCGTAGAATCGTTCTCGTATTAAGTAGAGCTTCCTGTTCCATGAACGATCGGAGGTGTAATGCAAGAGCGTGAAACTTCTGCCAACCGCTCCAACCTCAGATGCGCGTCGGCCGCCTCCGTCCGTGCGCACCTGTACACTTGTGGATGCCATGACACTGGACACTCTAACAATCCGATCATTGAATTAAAGATGTGTTGAAAATGTGGAAAACATGTTCTAAAAACGTTTCAAACATGTTTTTAAACATGTTTGACATATATTCTAGACACCTGGAAATGATTGGATGCTTCCTCTCCATTGATCGACTTCCACAGCTGTACACAGTAAGGACCCGCACAAAGCCGATCAACAGTCGAGGCGCAGGCATTCGCGACGGCGTCGGCTCAGGAAAGGTACTTAGGACTCTTTCGGGCCTGTCCCCCTACAGGGGGAATTTTGACGATAAATAAAACATACTCCAAAAATGCTCCAAAATGGAGGTACTCCCAAAATAGTCCCCAGACTACTTTATTACTGTTTTTGAATTTCCCTCCTGTAGAGGGACGGGCCCGACTCAAACTTAGGAGGTGCCTGCGGGCAGCCTCCTGGATCATCAAGAAGAAATGTGATAGTTCATGCTTTGGAACCTTAAATCAAGATGGCCCCTTCGGGCCCCTCTTGGAAACCTGGGACGACCTCGTGCCCTCCCGAGGAATCTTGAACCGTTTCGGAGCCCCCCCGCGTCGATTCCAAGGCGATGATCAAAGCAGCCCGTCTTCCAACCAGGGCCAAATTCGAAATCACTGAGGGCACAAAAGCTTTGAAATTTATTGAGCCCACTGGACGGCCTGTTGGGGCCCTCCTGGGGCCGTCTTGAACCGTCTTCCCTGGAGCGATTGCAAAGCGATGCTTACAAACGCTTTTTACAGCCACAGCCGCACAGAGATTCATTGAACAACGGATGTATGCTCTTGGAGCTGAGTGGGCCTACTGGACGGCCTCTTGGAGGCCTCTTGTGGGCCTGCCAGGGCCATCTTGGGCCGTCTTGGGGCTCTCCGGCCACGACTCTCGGATGATACTGAAAGCCATAGTTGCAGAGCCATCTCCAATGCCAAATCATTGCCAGCACACCGGTGCCTGACGCCACTGGACCGCCTTGAGACCCGACCCGTCGACCAAAAAGCTGGCGCGCGCGATGGAGCTTTCCGCCTTGGCTCAACCGCCCTTGGCGCCCCCGACCCTTGCCCCTCCACGCACGAGGCCGCGTCCCACCCCCCTCTCCCGGTCCGCAATTCCCTTCCGACATCCCCGCCACCCCCTCCGCCTTCCTTCCAGAAACGCCCCCGCCCCCTGTCCTGGCACCCGGCGCCCCCTCATATCCGCTGCCGCAGCTCGGCAGCGCGCCCGGGGGGGGAAGTGAGAAGGAGCGGGCCCTTTCAGAAGGCTCGAAGTCCCCCAACCTTTTGCCGAGAACTGTCCCGAGCCTTCCCCGAAGGCACAGAGAGCCAGAGAGCCTCTCAGAAGGCCAAGGACGCCTTCTGAGAAGCCCCGCCGCCTTCTGAGGAGGCCTTCTCCCTGTCACCTCCCCTCCGGGCGCGCCGCCGAGTTCAGTTCTCGAGTCTCCCGTGGCCGTCCAGGACGATCTGGGCATCCCTGGAACGCTCTCGGCGGGGCGCAGCCGCTGGAACGCATCCCGAGGGCGGAAGACCGCCAAGAAGCTACGAAAACGCTCGAAAACCTCGAGCCTCGGCGCACGAACCTCGAAGTTCCCCCCCCCCTCCGCTCGCCGCCGAGCAGCCACTGCCCCCCGCTCGGACCCTGGTGCCTTGGAGGGGTCGCAGGTGATGAGCTCGCCAGCGACGACGCGGAAGCGGCAGTAGACGTGGCCCCACTGCCGCTCCGCAGCCTCCCCTCGCCCGTCCTCCTCCTCCTCCTCCTCCTCCTCCTCCTCCTCCTCCTCCTCCTCCTCCTCCTCCTCGCCCCTCCCCCCTTCTCCTCCTCCTCCTCCCCCTCGGCCCTCCCCCTTCCTCCTCGCCCCTCGCCCCTCCCTCCTCCTCCTCCTCCTCCTCCTCCTCCTCCTCCTCCTCCTCCTTTTTGGACTTGGAGTCAGGATGAAGTGCACGAAGCGACACCCGCCAGGAAGATGGAATACGAGCCAGGACAAGGGCAAAGCAAGAGCGAAAGAGAGCACGCGAAGCATGCGATGAACCCGGGAGCCTGCCAGGGCAGGAACGGGGTCCCGACACCCAAAAGGGGCAGGGCGGGCCGAGGCCTCGCACCGTGTTGCCTCGGGCCCGCTAGGGCTCTGGGCGAGAGAGTTCACGAGCAAAGTCGTTGCCCATGACTCGGGTGACGTATGGATCCAGGGGCTCCCAAAAGGCCATGAAGTCCAGCTCGACCTCCTCCGAAGAGGCTCCCCAGACATGCGGCCATCTCCCCTGGAAGACCTGAAGGAAAGCAGAAGCAGCAAGACGGCACATGCCCTGGGGGTACGCCTTAGCCCGAGAGGTGCGCCACTGCCAATTGCCCTCCATGCCCGCAAGGGTCTCGTGGCCTCGAGGGCCATGGAAGCACCTCCCGCCCCCCCGAGCAGCCCGTGCCCCCAGGCCAAGAGAAGGAAGGTGAACCGAGAGGAGGAGAGTAGGCTTCATCGACGGCGCCCCGAAAACGCACTGGTCGATGAGGACCCCCTCAACCTCGGGCCGCCCGAGGAGGAACTCCATCTCGTCGAGCTTCCACGCCGAAGGGGCCCCCAGGCGGAAGGGAGGAGCAGGGTGCTCCATCACCGCCGGGATTTCGAGGCGGAGGGCAACGAAGAGGAAGTAAATCGTCGTGCGGAGCAGCAGGTTCCCCGCCTCAACCTGCCTGGCTTCCTTGGGGGTAAGGTCGCCAAGGCCCCAAGGCTTGCCAGGGGTGCGGAGAGGCCTTGGCGGGGGACCCCTACACTCGGTGGTGTCACGCAGGCGGGCCTGCGACCAAGTCTCGCACGGAGGGCCAGCCCAGAATCCGGCGACCTTGCCGCCAGCCATGGCGCGATACCAAAAACGGATCGTCTCTGGCCTCGAAACATCACCGCGGATGGGGACGTTAGCCACGTCAAGGCTGATCACCCAGACAGAGACAGGAAAGGACTCGGCAGCCCTCTCAAACTCATGCTGGATGTCAAACTCGCGTCGGGCCCCAGCGAAAAAATGCAAGAGATACATGGTAGGCTGGCCGGGTGGCCTGGGAACCTGGCCCGCAAGGGCTCTATCCCCAGAATCAGCTCGAGCCATGGGCAAGGGTTTCCAAGCACGTTTTTCCCTCGGGACCTGGGCAGGGGGGCAAATCGAAATCCCAGGGACCCGAAAAGCCGGTTTCTCAGCAAAGTGCTCGGCCTCCTCCTCCTCCTCCTCCTGCTCCTCCTCCTCGCCCCTCCTCCTCCTCGCCCCTCCTCCTCCTCCTCCTCCTACTCCTCCTCCTCCTCCTCCTCCTCCTCCTCCTCCTCCTCCTCCTCCTCCTCCTCCTCCTCCCCCCCCCTCGCCCCTCCCCTCGGACTCGCCCCTCTCCACGGCTCAGCGAAGGCGCAGGCGAGGCCCGGCACAGAGGGACTGCGGCAGGCGGGCCCATGGCCCCTCTTCTCTCTCCAGCGCTGGAGCTGAGCAATGCTCTCCACGTTTCGGGACGCACAGGGACATACTGGTACCGTATGTCCTCCTTGGATGCGCGCGTCCGACCCGAACATATAGTATACCCATCTTGTAGTATACCGTTTCCCGAGCGGTGTGGCCAGAAAGCGCACGCCACGACGCATATACTATAAGATTACTCGGTGCGCGCGTCGCCCCTGGGGGGGCGACGCAAATATAGTATAAACAGGTTGGGGTGACGCCGGTTCTTGTCGTTGTCCCTCGTTCTGTCTTCGCTCCGCCCCCGGTGCAGAACGAAATCAAAACGATCACTGTCCACGAAGTCGCCAAAGCAAGGCTTTGCTCGAGCCGTGCTTCTCTTTTCCCCGCCGCTGCGACTTGTGGAAGTGCAGCGGCAGACGCTGCACATACCTTCTCTTGTGCCGCTCGTGCACCGAGGTCGAAGGTCATGACTGGCGCCATCGGTCCTGTTGTCGGATGGCAGTCGGCCCACAACAAAATGTGTGGCGGAAAGGAGTCATGGTCAAACCAGTGCTGGCATTCCTCGTCGTACTCGCCGCCATTCCAGTGGAAGCGAAGCCATTAGCTATACTACTATTCCCGTCTACTCCCGATAGCCATCCTAAGATAAGGTTCTTGTCCGCCTTTTCATTCGCTCACTCACGTCCCTCCTCCGTTTTCCTCCTGTCGTTCCTCTCCTCCTCCTCCTCCTCCTCCTCCTCCTCTTCGTGCATGTCAGCCTCTCTCGCACAGTATCCATTCAAATCACTCATACTCGCGCACACTCATTCTCAGAGTCACTGACATTGATATGCATTCATGCTCAGACTCACTCGCCTTCAGATCAATCATGTTCAGGCTCACCGTTTCTGTGTCGTCACTATCAGACTTGCTCGTACTCAGACTCACTCACACCTAGGCTCACTCATACTCTGATTCGCTCATACTCCGACTCACTCACACTCAAACTCGCTCGCGCTGAGATATAGCAGGCATGGCACTTGGACACCCCAAGGGGCAGCAGCCAGTGGTGGGTGCGTCCTTCGCGCCCAGAGTGTGGGAATATCTCAAGCGGTTTGCCTGGTCCCTCATCCCCAGGTGTCTGTTTTGGTGGTCCGATGCTCATAGCTTTAAAGCAACGATGGCATTGCCCCCCTCAAAATAAACGCAAGAATCGCGCTCCCGAGACCGACACGACCCCACGCAAGAGGCTCAGGACCCGCGCGTCCCAGGCCACGATGCCTCATGGAAGACGTGGGGTCCACGTTCCCGGGGGCACGATCCTGAAACCTGGGAGCCTTGCCTCGTGTAGCTCCAGGAAGTCCCAGGAAGTCCCAAGAAGCCCTGGGAGCTCTGGGGAGTTCCGGGAAGCTTCAGGAAGCCCGAATGAGCCCAAGAGAGCGCCAGGAAGTCCCAGGAGGCGCCACGCAGCCCCTAGAAGCCTCCGGAAACTTCGGGAGGCCGCTCGAGATGCGGCGGCGTTGCGACGCAGCCAGAGGACCCGCCTGGGACTTTTGAGAAATCACGGGGCGCCATGAAGAAGCCTGATCCGCCACCGTGCCGCTGGGCACGGAGTGGGCGTTTCCTCAGGTCCGTTTCCTAATCCCATAAGCACTCCTGAAAATTGTGTCTGTGCGTATGCCGTCGCTCCACTGCCTCCTCATGCTTACTCCCGGGGGTGGCCGATGCCAAAGGCACTCCAAATCTCACAATAGTGTGAGGGGGTCCAAAAAATGTTAGACGGCCCGTCTGGGACCCCCCTCCCCGAGAGCGGTGCATCCGTACATAAATCCAGGCCCCTGAGGCGCAGCTCGAAGTAGACCCCCAAAAGAGACAACGAAGGGTCCCACAACGAGACCCCCCCGCAATCTTGTTTGACGGGGCCTGTTAGCCCCCTAAAAACATAGACTCCTTCCCCATTTTTAAAATCTGGGGTATTTTTCGCACGGCCTCGACGAATTCGTACTTCTTATCCTGCCATGTTGTGTGCTGCCATTGCGGGTGGCATTTGCGACTGCATTCCTAGTCTGCTTACAGAGGTCTGTTCTTAGGATGCCTTTCGTGCTGGACGCTCCCGACGTGAAGGTTGGGCTGACTAACTTCTTTGTGTGTTTGACCCCTCCCTTCGCCCTCCCCCACCTCCTCCTCCTCTTCTTCCTCCTCCTCCTCTCCCTCCTCCGCCGTAGCCAGGTTGGCTCAAGACAGAGCTTATCTCCCGTCCCGACTCCAGAGGCCCGAGGCCGAGGTGGAAGGGCAGCCCCTCCACAAGGCCTGGCTGCCTCGGCCAGGTGTTCGCAATCCATTCCTGCCACATGTTCGTTTTGCTGGTCGCCACCGCCAGCGGCCAGCCAGTCTCCCCGCAGCCATGGGAGGTTCCAAGCAGTGGCAGAAGCACTGCTGCCAGTCGCCTGGGTGGGTGCTGAGGATGGACCTGGGGCGGCAGTGGCGGCTACAAGCGTTGTGCGGAATGCGGCAGCGCATTCCTCAGGCCTCGCCAACCTCACGCCCGAGCTGCTGACGACGAAGCGGCTCTGCAAGATGACGGTGGGCACCAAAGGCAGCAAGCCCCGGGCGGCAGGCGGGCCCACGGCCGCGGTGCCCGTGGGCACGAGGCGCAGCAGCCTGAGGACGGCGGCCACAAGTCGACCCCCGCACCAGACCCAGACATCGGGCGCCTCGAAAAAATCGAGACGGAGGTTTCTCACTGTTTTCGGCCGCTCGGGGCCCTTGCCGGGCCTCGGGGCCGTCAAGAACCGACTCGGGATGAAAAACCGATCCTGGGGAAGTGGTCGGGAGGTCGGGGGCCCGTGTCTCGAAAAAATCGAGACGTCGGATGTCTGGGGAGGCAGTCGACATTGCCAAGGATGACGTTGCCATCTGCATCCAGGCGGTCAGTTTCTGGAACAAGGCGGTCGGTCAGGAGGGCAGGCAGTACTGGCAGGCCTGCGAGGACCTCCGACGTGCCAAGCTCCAAGCGCTCGAGGACAAGTCGCTGGACGCCAATACCCAGTCATTGGCTGATCAGCTCCAACGGCGGAGCCGCCGACTCGAATCACCGAAAGCAGAAGTGGAGAAGAATATCATCAATTTGGACAATGCTGTAGAGCTGTACGATAAGTCCGTGGAGTCGTACAGGAGCTGCAGTACGCGGTGCAACAGCTCGAGGCCCAGCACTCGCGCCTCAACGCAGCGGACCAAGCCCCCGTCGCGCTCCTCAGCTGCGTGGACTCCAGGTTCCCGCAGGGCTTGCCGCAGAGCATCAAGTCTGAGCTCGAGG